CCCCAAAACCCCAAAACCCCAAAACCCCTATTACTATATAGCTAAACTTTTAAGAAATTCATGAAAAGCTTAGAAATTAAAAAATAAACAGTTGTTTAAAATGTCAAAAACAAACTACAAATCAAATCCAAGAAACTTCAATCTAATTCTGATGTAACAATCTCATAAGTGATTTATTTTTAAGGCAAATAGAATAAATGAAAGCACATAATGAAAGAATAAAAAGTGCTTAGAAGTGAGTAGATGTATCTGAACCAATTAGACATAATATTGAATAACACAGATATAAGCCAAGCTATTAGCGATAAAAAGAAATATCAAAGCAAAATGAAACTCTTGTCACAAACATGATTAAAATTCATAGCAGAACTAACCAGCATGATGTTTAATAGGAAACGAAGTTGTTTAATAAAACTAATTGAGAAAAATAGATGAGAAAGCTATCTGAGGAAAATAAAAGAAACAAATTGAATCTAATCAAAGTTAAGCCAACTGTCAGTTGAGAAGAATGGGAAAAGCATTCTAAGAAAATGGACAAATTTAGGACATATTTCAATCAATTCGAGCAATAGTAATTAGCCTATAAGAGGGCCACTCGAATTGTTGAAAGAAGGTCTTAGTCAAAGGACAAAGCCATAAGTAGACTGGGAGCAAATAATTCTAAACTTGACTTAAACTCTTCAATCCGCTCACAAAAATCAGTCAAAAGCTTTTAACCTCAGAATTAGGCTTAGACTCCTACAACGAAGAAATTCTCGACCTTGTAACCTTAATAAAGTAATCTAAAAATACGAAACAAAAGTGCTTTATCTACATCTTCAACAACATAGAGGTTAAAGGGTCAAAATAGTATTCTGATAGTTGATTAGTCAGCAAGTAGGTCAAATTAGAAACAGCAAAAGTCATAATCATTTCTTGCAGACCAGAAGTCCTTTAATACTACCCTAAATAGGACAATAAATCAGAATGATCGCTCTAAATCATCAATAAGAAGCAGCAATTCCAAGTAGTCAAATCTTTCTCTTAAACGCCCTATTAGACCTGTATTAAAGCCTCTAAATCTCAAATCAAATAAGTTAAGCAATACTATGAGAAGTAAAAGTACCTAGAATAAATAGTTTAAAATTCGATCTAAAACACCATTGAATGTGACAGAATAAAGAAAACAGCAAATTCTCAAGAGCTTAAACGATACCAAATACATGCTTGAACAACACTAAATTGAAGAAAACCTGAAATTTAATTAATTCGCAATGACAAATGCTTTCACATACTTAAAAAATAACCACAAACTGGACAGAAAGCAAATCCTTAAGAAGAACAAATAAGAAATATTTATGGAATGCGATAAAATAGAATAATCAATGAAAAGCATAAAATTAGCATGAGCATGAGCATATGCTTATCAATAAATAGTCTTTAATTTATTCACTAATAATATATAATTTATGAAAAATGCATAAAATTTTAACAATCGAAATCGGGGTTTTGGGGTTTTGGGGTTTTGGGGTTTTGGGG